AAGGAAAGGAAAGGAAAGGAAAGGAAAGGAAAGGAAAGGAAAGGAAAGGAAAGGAAAGGAAAGGAAAGGAAAGGAAAGGAAAGGAAAGGAAAGGTTTGGGAAGAGAAGGAGAAGGAGAAGGAGGAAAGGAGAAGGAGGTCCAGGTTTGCCCCTGGGGTCAGTTCAGCCCTCGATTGTTGAGGTTTGGCCCCGTCCCAGAGGGTTTTTTTCTGCAGAAGGAGAAAATAACAGGCAGGCAGTGCCGGAACAGCCCTCCCACCTCCTGCTCTTGATTTTACACCCACTTGGGTCCCAGAAATGACTCTGTGGGCACAGTTGTGGCTTTCCTGCCCGCCCGTGAGTGGGTGCCTGGCACCAGGGGCTCCACTTCCAGCCCAGAAATGAGACAGGAGCTCCGAGCTGGTTCCTGGAAGGGGACACGTGGGTGGTTGGGCAAGACAAGATTGTCCCCCGAGGTTGGGGACAGGGAGAGGGACAGGTGGGCTGAGGACACAGGAGAGGCAGGAGCCTCTGTATTGTGCTTGGAGAACAGGAGAACTGGGATGGCTGAGCCAGGGATCTGGGACTCAGAGCACTGGGATGTCCTCTCCAGGCACCCAGGGAAGGAGGGGAGAGATGTGTCTTCTCCTGCAGCACACGGGAAGGAAAACCCCCCACGGGGTGGGTTTGGAGACCAACCAAGTGTCCCAGCACCAGGAGAGAGAAGATGGGAGATCTAGCCCAGCCTCCACGGGCTCCCAGGGCTAAGGTGGCCCTGTCACCTGCCCCAGGGGAGCAGTTTAGATGGCCAGGGCTGCTTTGGTGTCCCCACACTGTCCCCACAGCCAGCCTTGGGTGTCTTGGGTGCTGTGGACTGACTTGGGTGCAACAGATGGTCCCGGGATCAGAGAAGTTCTTGGTTTCTGGAAGTTCTTGGGTGCCAGGGAAGTTCTTGGGTGTCATGTCTTGGGTGTCACAGATTGTCCTGGGTGCCATGGACTGTCCTGGGTGACACAGATGCTTTTGGATGCCACAGACTGTCCTGTGTGCCAAGGATGATCTCATGTGCCATGGATGATCCCAATTGCTATGGATTGCCCTGGGTGCCATGGATTGCCCTGGACCATGGATGATCCCAGGTGCCATAGGTGATCTCAGGTGCCACAGATGATCCCAAGTGCCACGGATAACTCCAGGCGTCATGTATGATTCCAGGTGCTATGGATGATCCTGGCTGCCATGGATGACTCCAGGTGTCATGGATGATCCCAAGTGCCATGGATGATCCCAAGTGCCATGGATAATCCTGGGTGCTATAGCTTGTCCTGGGTGTCATGGATGAACCCAGGTACCATGGATTGTCCCAGGTGCCATGGATGATCCTGGGTGCCATGGATGACTCCAGGTACTACGGATGATCCCAGGTGCCATGGATGATCCCAGGTACTATGGGTGACTCCAGATACTATGGATGATTCCAGGAACCATGGATAATCCCAAGTGCCATGGATGATCTTGGGTGCCATGGATTGTCCTGGGCGTCATGGATGAACCCAGGCACCATGGATGGTCCCAGGTGCCATGGATGATTCCAGGTACTATGGATAATACCAGGTGCCATGGATGATCCCGAGTGCCATGGATGATCCCAGGTGTCATGGATGTTCCCAGGTGCCGTGAATTGCCCTGGGTGCCATGAATGATCCCAGGTACTACAGATGACTCCAGGTACTACAGATGATCCCAGGTGCCATGGATGATCCCAAGTGCCATGGATTGTCCTGGGTGCCATGGATGATCCCAGGTATCCTGGATGATCTCAAGTGCCATGGATTGTCCTGGGTGCCATGGATGATCCCAGGTATCCTGGATGATCTCAAGTGCCATGGATGATTCTGGATATCATGGATGATTCCAGGTATTATGGATGATCCCAGGTACCATGGATGGTCCAGGGTGCCATGGATGTTCCCAAGCATTATGGATGATCCCAGGTCTCATGGATGATCCCAAGTGCTATGGATGTTCCCAGGTATTACAGATGGTCCTGGGTGCCCTGGGCTGCCCTGGCTGCCCAGTTCCCTTTTGCTGCCACCCACCCCCTCCCCTGTTTCCCTGTGCCCTCATCCTGCAATCCCCCACACCTCCCTGCTCCTTCCAGAGGCCCCACAGCCCCCAGGGATGCTCCTCCCCCCTCCTGGCCACCCCTCAGCCTGGCAAAGTTGGCACCAAGCCGGGACTGGGGTCATGGGAGGACACCCAAAGCTCTCCAGGCCTGGAGCCCCAGCAAGACCCCAGGCTCAGCTTTGCTCAGGAGCTTCCAACCTCCACGACAACCCCCCCACTGACCCAAAAACGTGCAGGGGAACCCCCCAGTTCTCCTTCCTGCAAACCAGAAGCTCCTCTGCAGGTCTCTGGAGGGTTCTGGGGACATTGTGGTGGCTGATTTTTCACCCAAACAGCAGCAGGAAGAGGATTCTGCCAGGACAGGTTGGTGGGAAGAAGAAGTGGAAGCAGAAGCTCCTCCTGCAGAGAACAACTCTCTCCACAGGGACAGGAACCCACCAAGGGGTAGAGAAGCTGTGGCTGCCCCTGGATCCCTGGGAGTGTCCAAGGCCAGGTTGGAAAAACCTGGGATGGTGCAAGGTGTCCCTGCCCATGGAGGGACTGGATGGGCTTTAAGGTCCCTTCCAACCCAAACCATTCCATGATTCCATGAAATGCTGTGAGGGCAGAGGGACATCTCCAGCCCCAAACACCCCACGCCACTTTCCCAGCCCCATCCCAGCACTTACTGGTTCCTCTCCAGCACCAGGATGAGCTCTTTGCCCTCAGCTTTCACAGCCACCTCTGCCTGGGCAGGCGCCGGCACCTGGAAAGGAAAGGATGGAATGGGATCAGAAAGGACATCCCTGTCCCCAGCACCTCCCTCTGCTCTCCGAGATCAGGGCACCTGGAAAGGGAGAGAGGGAATGGGATCAGGGAACACATCCCTGTCCTCAGCACCTCCCTCTGCTCTCCAAGATCAGGGCACCTGGAAAGGGAAAGAGGGAATGGCATCGGGAAACACATCCCTGTCCTCAAGCACTTCCCCTCTGCTCTCCAGCTTAGGGCACTTGGAAAGGGAAAGAGGGAATAGGATCAGGAAACACATCCCTGTCCCCAGCACCTCCCTCTGCTCCCCAGCCCAGGCCACATCCCGGCCTCTCCTCCCTGGTTCTGCTCCATCCACTCCATCCCCTGCTACAACCCCGTGGAAGGTGAGAAACAACTCCTGATTTCCTGAGAATTCCCAGCCCAGCACGGGGATAACAGAGGATTCCCACTGGGATTGACCCCGCAGGGATGGGGGTGAGGCAGCAAATCCCAACCCTGGTGGCAGCTTCCCCTGGGAAAGGCAGAGGGGAGAACCAGGATGGGACACGGGATGGGGAGCGGGGTCTCCGTGTGCTCCATCCCACCAGAGATCCTGATCCAGGGGAAAAGGGCCTCACCCCTGGGTGGGTCTGTGCCCCTGCAGGGTGTGGAAATAACCACCAACCACCGGGATAATGGATCGGATAAAAACACCGGGAGCAGCAAAAGGGAGGGAGTGACTCAGCTTCCCCAGGATGCCGCTGGATTTACTCACTCCCTCGCTTTTGGAAGGTGTTAAATGGGAATCTGACCTTTGGATCCAACCCAGCACGTGACAGGATGGGCTGGAGCCCAAAATGCTGCCCTTCCCTGATGTCCCCACAGCCCATTCCCAGCTGGGGACACTGAAAACATCACCTGGCTCTTGGCTGTGGCCTGGATGTGGGTCTGCCTCCCTCACTCTGTCTCTCTCCATCCATGGTGGATACAGGGAACCCTTGGGATCCCCCACAGGACCCCATCAGTCCCTCCCCATCCATGAAGGATGCAGGGAGCCCTTGGAATCTCACACAGGACCCCATCAGTCCCTCCCCATGCATGATGGATACAGAGAGCTCTCAGGGATCCCCCATGGGACCTCATCCATAATGGATGCAGGGAGCCCTTGGGATACCCCACAGGACCCCATCAGTCCCTCCTGTCCCTGAGGGATGCAGGGAACCCTTGGAATCTCACACAGGACCCCATCAGTCCCTCCCCATCCATGATGGATACAGGGAGCTCTCAGGGATCCCCCGTGGGACCCGATCTTTGATGGATACAGGGAGACCTCAGGATCCTCCAGAGAATCCCATCAGTCCCTCCCATCCATGGGGGATGCAGGGAACCCCTGGGATTCTCCATAGAATCCCATCAGTCCCTCCTGTCCCTGAGGGATGCAGGGAACCCTTGGGATAACCCACAGGAGCCCATCAGTCCCTCCCATCCATGAGGGATGCAGGGAGCCCTTGGAATCCTCCATGGGACCCCACCAGTCCCTCCCCATCCATGAGGATCCATGGTGAGGTTTTCCCAGTTCTGGAGGGCAAGGGAAGAGGAAGGAGCCATCTCTGCAAGGCTCTGGCTTCAGCTGCTCTTGGCATTATGGGGCTTTGCAGCTGGAAAACCAGGAATGCAGCAGGGAGGGGGTAAAACTGGGTGATTCAGAACTTGGGATTTTGCAGCTGGAAAACCAGGAATGCAGCAGGGAGGGGGTGAAACTGGGTGATTCAGAACTTGGGATTTTGCAGTTGGAAAACTGGGAATGCAGTAAGGAGTGGGTAAAGCTGGGTGATTCACAGTTTAGGATGAAACAGAGGTTAAATCCTGCTGTTCCCTGATCCCTATGGATAAGGCTTTGCCTGGGAAGTGGGGATACTGGGGGACCCCCAGCCTGGCAGCCTCCCCCTCCTGGGGACCATCATCCTTAAAAAGGATGGGACAGAGCATTTTGGGATGTGGGGCCCCACAGCTGCCAGACCCCAGGACATGGGATCTGTGCTCCCGGGATGGATATTCCCGCAGATCCATCCCAGCCCGAGCTCTGGCAGTGGGGACACCCCCTCCAGCTGCTCCAACCGGCCGTGGGACCGATCCCTGCTCCAAGGAGAGTCCCGATGGCCCCAATTCCCGAGGACACGGAGGTGTCCCGCTCCCCCCGCCGTCGGGATGCGATAATGGAGCCGGGCTGGCTGAGCATCCCCCCACCTCCCCTTCTCCTCCAGCAAAGTCTTCCCAGCTCCAAAAAAGGCGAGCGGACGCGGTGCCTTAAAAAAACAAAGCCCAGAGCGAAGCCAGGCGGCTGCGGGGCTCCGACAATTCCTTTCGGCACCACCACGGCACAGCCACGGGATCCAAATCCCGGCACGGATCCCAAATCCCGGCGCGGGGCCCCGCGTGGAGCCGCAGGAGGAACCCGGGGGGCGGCCACGGGAACCCCCCCCCCTCCCCTCCTTCGGCGCTGGTGGGAACGGGCTGTATTTTTGGAACATGATCTTATCCAAACATCACTCCCTGGCCAAACATGGTCTGGACATTTTTCTTGCCGTTTCCCTTCTTTCCCCCTCCTTCTCGCCCTCCCCCTTTTTTTTTTTCCCTCTCTGATCTCCCCATCGCCCGCTCCCCGCAGCCCTTTCCATCTCCTCCTCCTCTTTCCCCCCCAAAGTCCCTGCCGGCTCCTTCCCGGTTTTGAATTCCCCAGCAATTACTCCCTGCCTCGACTTAAGGGCCCTTCCTGGCAAAAAGCTCTTTTTCCCAGCTGCCGTCTTAAAGGGCCATGTCTTTGTCCAGGGTTATCCCGGCGCTTACAGCTCCCTGCCCCAATTCCAAAGGCTGGAAAACCAACGGCTGCCGCTGGGATCTGTCCCCCATCCCTGCCAGGTGATGCACCACAAGCTCTTCCCTTCCCGGTGCCTCAGTTTCCCTCGAGGAATCTGAGGAATCCAGGAGGGGATGGATCCCGATTCCAGCTGGGATGGGGCCAGCTCAGCCCCTGGAGAGATCCAGAGCAGCAAAAAGAGGGAGAACGGGAATTGGAGCAGCACTTGTGCCAGGCAGGAGCCAAATCACCCAGCTTAGAGGCCAGGAAAGGAGATTAATTAATTAATTAATCAATTAAACACTGGTAATTTTGCCTTGAGCCTGGCAGGGAGCAGGGCCTGCCAAGATGCTGCACACCAGGAATGAGCAGGGATTAGATTCTTCCTGGGCTCCAGCCCCTTCCCAGGCTCCAGCATCATTCCAAGCTCCATCATCATCCCAGGTTCCAATATCCTCCTGGGTCCAGCACTGTCCCGGGCTCCAACATCATTCCAGGCTCCAACATCATTCCAGGCTCCAATATCCTCCTGGGCTCCAACATCATTCCAGGCTCCAACATCATCCCAGGTTCCAATATCCTCCTGGGTCCAGCACTGCCCTGGGCTCCAACATCATTCCAAGCTCCAGCATCATTCCAGGCTCCAGCATCATTCTGGGTTTCAGCATCATCCTGGGTTCCAGTATCATTCCAAGCTCCATCATCTCCCCAGGTTCCAATATAATCCTGGGCTCCAGCATTGCCCTGGGCTCCATTATCCCAGGATTCAGCGCCATCCCGGGTTCCAGCACCATCCCAGGTTCCAGTATCATCCCAGGGTCCAATGTCATCCTGGCTCCAGCAACTTATCAGGCTCCAGCATCACCCCAGGCTCCAGCATCCTCCTGGGCTCCAGCATCTTCCCACTGAGCTCCAGTATGATCCCACACTTCATCATTATCCCAGGCTCCAGCATTGTCCCAGGTTCCAGCACATTCCAAGCTCCAGCAACATCCCAACTTCCAGTGTCATCCTGGGCTCCACCACCACCCTGGGCTCAGCATCTTCCTGGGATCCAGCACATTCCAAGCTCCAGCATCCTTCTGGGATCCAGCAGTCTTCACAGGTTCCAATACAATCCTGGGCTCCAGCATATTCCCAGGCTCTGGAATCTTCCTCCTCCACCTCCTTTCTCCAATAACCACGAAAAGAATCCCCCAGTCCTTGCCAGGGGCTGCAGGATCCACCTTCCCTCAGCCCTGGCTGGATGTGGAAGTGGTGGTCCCTCTCCAGGACATCCCAGCAAAGCCAATCCCACCAGGGGCTGGGCTGGGAGAGGCTGGAATGTCAGCTCATGTCCCAGTCCGTGAGTGGCCCAGCTCAAGTCTGGTTTACTTTTTCCCTCCATTGATCAGGAAAACCACAGGATGTTTCCACAGGAGCCGAGGCCAAGGGGGTTGAGTTGCTCTTCCCACAGCTCCCAGACATCCTGCTCTCCCAGGCTTCCTCCTCCATTCCTGCTGGGAAGCTCAAGGAGCACCGAGCTCCTCGGGAAATCAGTGGTTAAACCAAAAATCCACGTCCAAATCCCAGCCAATCCATCTGCTCAGGCAGGTCCCACAAGTCCTGATTTCCTAAATGAGTACAGGCAGGCCCGGATGTGCCGGGGAAAACGGGGATCCGAGTTACCAGGAGATGCTCCAGGGACGATTTGGAGATGGGTTTTCCAGCTGGAGCAGCACAGCTGAGCCAGGTCCTCCCCAGGCAGCTGGATCCCAGCGAGGTTTGAGCAGCACAGCCTGGGAATTGCATCACCTTGTCCAACATCCACACAGGGATCAGGATCCAAGACCTCAAGGACAAGCCTCTGGCTCCAGCTGCTCGTTGGAAAAGCATCCCAGAGAGCCAAGGGAAGCAAGGCAATCCAGGCAGGGTTGGGGTTGTTTCAAAGCAAACAGGGAGCACAGCAGGGGTTGCTCAGTCCTGCCACACCTCACACAGGGAAAAGGGTTTCCCAGCGGGAAGCAGATGGGCAGGAGCGTGTCCTCGGCACCTGCAGCACATCCCAAACCACAGGTAGTCCTCTCCTCCCTCCTTCCTCCTCTGGAGCAGGGCCATGAGCCCAGTGTGTATCCAGAGCTCCCCAGGGAGGGGCCTGAGGTTCAGGGATCCCATCCCGGGACCGGCCGGGATGCTCCAAGTTTGCATCCGAGTTCCTCGGTGAGGATGAAGGGAATGAAGGGAATGGCCACATCCCATCCCAGGCCAGGGAGACACTGGCTGCTCCAGGGCCCCAGGGAATGATCCTGCAGTGTGAGGGGAAGCAAAGGGTGGAAGGATGTTCCCCCAGTGCCAAGGGGCTTTCCCAGACAGGGATGGGGCACCAGGAGAGACACAGAGGGAAGGTGAGGAGCTCTCCTGCTCCCTTAAGATCCCAGAATGGTTTGGGATGGAAGGGACCTTAAAGACCATCCAATTGCACCCCTTGCCATGGGCAGGGACACCTTCCACTAGACCAGGGTGCTCCAACCTGACCTTGGACACTTCCAGGGATCCAGGG